GAGGGTGGTGTGGCTGGGGCTCCCCAGCCCTCACAGCTGGGGAGCTGCAGAGTTTTTTTCCAGCAGCTGGTTGGGTTTGTAAGCAAGAGCTGGCTCCGTGCTGCTCTGGGCTGGAGCGCGCGCACGTACCCCCGCGACTGCGTGACTCAACGTTTTGGATTCTCCAAGGGAGCTGGGCTTCACACATAAATCGCTTTGCAACGTCTGTCCGCAGTGAGCTTGCGCGGGGGTGTGCAGTTCGAGCAAGCACGTAGATAAGCGCGAACAATATAAACACTGGGGAAAGCACCCATTTGTTTGTGTAAGCTAAAAGGTTTCTGTGAGAATAGAACATATCCCCCCGCCGCCTCCGCAAATGCTCCTGAACGCTGAGGAAAGTGAGATTGTACTTTAAAATATTAAATGGTTTTCCAATCAGTGCAGAATCTCAGCTTTCACCTGGGTCTTTTGTATGTGTTCACTTCTTCCAGCAGGAGATTTGTAATAGAGGAAGCAGGTGTAACATGGTGATTATAAAGATATGGCTTTAAAAAAAAAAAAAGGTGATTTTTCAGTGCTTTGCTCCTTTGAGCCTGCCAGGGCTTTCTTTTCAGCCGACTCCATCACCTTTTAGGAAGGTGCTCTGTTTTTGTCCAAGGCAGTCAGTCAGTCAATTGTGCGTAGAAAAAAAGTTGCTGGGTAAATCTGAAACCTTGATAACACGTTCCTCCATTTGTATATATTGTACAGCTTACCAATGTATTCATTCCTTTGGCTTTCAACATTTCACAACTTTCCATAGGTCAACCTGCGCAACAAGAACAGGTCCTGCTAGATTAAAAGAGTTTATGCTTTTAGACACTCATGTTCACATCACTTTGCCTGTTGATTTCCTTCCTTTTATTTTATTTTTTTTATTTTTATTGTTTTTTTAATTTTATTTTTTTTTAGCTTTAAACTTCCCAGTGAAAAATATTAAATATTCAAGGTAATAAAATAGATTATTATTTCTAGACTATAGGTTCGGCCTGGCCCAAGGAGCGTCACCTGGGATACCCCTTGAAATAACCCCTAGACCACTGCATTGCAGGCAACGCAAGGCACTTCCGCAAGTGGTCTAGTTCGGCTTGCAGTCGCTCCCGCTCCGACACCATCTTCTGCTTCTGCGTCCGCAGCTCCTGCAGGGCCGGAGGGGGAGAGCCACAGTCAAAACGGGACGGGGCAGCGTTAGGGTGAGCGGCAGGCCCAGCACGGGCTCCCCCCACCCCGGGATGTGG